ATGATTGATGTAACTGCTGTAGGATTTAATTATCCATCAAAATTAAGTTAATTCTTAAATAAAGCTTGCATCTAATATCAGTTGTGATTTAAAAAAAATAAAAATAAAAATAAATCAATATAAAAAATTTCTTTACTTAATATAAATCAAATACTATCAATATATTATAATATAAAGATATTATAAAAAATTTTATTTAAATATTATAATCAATATATTTTATCAATCATTGTATAAACTGATTTATTTTATTTTATTTTTTAATTTCAATATTAATTAACTATTCTTGACATGATAGATTTTTTAGCAATAGATGAGTTAATATGAAAAGTCATCAATCTGTAAATATCTAGAATATATACAATAGTCCGATTGGAATATTCTTTCTTCCCCTAACCATCTGAGGAATGTCAAAAAAAAAATTTTTTTTATATTTTAAAGCTAACTTATTCTATTTAGCTTTTTTTTTTTTTTTTTTTTTTTTTTTGATGAGTTCCGTTCCGAAAAACCAGCCAATTAGAATTCGCATAATCCAACTAGCTTGCCGGGTCACAGCTGGGAGCATCTCGTTTCTCGTCCTTGACAAAAATACAAAACAAGATAACCTTTCACAATGTTAGAAGAATATGCAGGCGCTATAGGGATTGACTTGGGAACGACTTACTCGTGTGTTGGAGTATGGGAGAATGAACGCGTTGGTGAGTTAATATGGCTAAAGAAAACGTGGGTCTAAAATATTTAAGAGTATTTTTATACTAAAAAGAAGAATCAAATACGTTTACCTCGTTTACTTTTTTTGTTTTCTTATTTGCAGAAATAATTGCGAACGAGCAAGGAAACCGCACGACCCCCTCATATGTGGCCTTTACCGAAAGTGAGCGTCTCATAGGAGACGCAGCTAAAAATCAGGCGGCCATGAATCCTCGGAACACGATTTTTGACGCGAAACGATTAATAGGTCGTCGGATTGATGATCCTGAAGTTAAAGCAGACATGAAACATTGGCCATTTACTGTCATCGACCAAGATGATTCGCCCATGATCCAAGTTGATTATCAAGGTGAAAAGAAAAATTTTACACCTCAAGAGATATCGTCGATGGTATTGGTTCGAATGAAGGTGATAGATGGTTCTGAAGTTTTTTAAACACGATGGGTACAAATTCGTGAGAAATAATATTTCTTTTCGGTCACTGGCGATGCTTATTCTTATCCAGGAAATCGCGGAAGGCAGGCTCGGAAAAAAAGTCAAGAAAGCGGTGATCACGGTACCCGCTTACTTCAATGACTCGCAGCGTCTCTCCACCAAAGATGCCGGTAAGATTGCTGGTCTAGAGGTTCTCAGAATTATAAACGAGCCCACAGCAGCCGCAATTGCCTATGGTTTGGACTCGAAAGAGAGCAGGGAAAAGAATGTGCTCATTTTTGATCTGGGTGGTGGCACCTTTGATGTTTCCCTACTGAACATATCCGGTGGCGTCTTCGCGGTCAAGGCCACTGCTGGTGACACGCATCTTGGAGGAGAGGATTTTGACAATAACCTGCTCGAATTTTTCAAGCAGGAGTTCAAGCGTAAGCACAAGCTTGACATCTCTAATGATGCGCGTTCCATACGTCGTCTCAAAACTGCATGCGAACGCGCGAAGCGTACGTTATCTTCACTAACCCAAACGACCGTGGAAGTTGATTCACTTTTCGAAGGCACCGATTTTCTGACCACAATCACTCGCGCAAAATTTGAGGAGTTAAATTCCGCACTGTTCAACTCAACCTTGGAACCGGTTCGTAAAGTTTTGAAGGATGCAAAAATGGAAAAAAAAGAAATTCATGAAATAGTTCTTGTTGGCGGGTCGACTCGTATTCCCAAGATTCAATCTCTTCTCCAGGACTATTTTGACGGAAAGGAATTAAATAAATCCATAAACCCAGATGAAGCTGTTGCATACGGAGCCGCGGTTCAAGCAGCAGTTCTTACTAATCAGGCCGGTAATGAGAAAACCCAAGACCTTTTGCTCTTGGATGTCGTGCCACTTAGTTTAGGGGTAGAAACACAAGGAGGAGTTATGGCAGTGGTTGTACCTCGAAACACACCAATTCCTACGATTAAAAAGAAAATATTTACAACAGCAGAAGATGGGCAGACGATTGTAGAATTTCCAGTATATGAAGGGGAACGACCCATGTGTCATGATAATAACCTTCTGGGATCTTTCGAGCTGTCAGGCATTCCTCCAATGCCACGTGGAGAGGCAGAGCTTGAATGCACCTTTGATATCAATGCGGATGGCATTCTTAAAGTCACGGCAAAGGATAGAGCAACTAATCGAAAGGCGAACATCACGATCTCAAACTCGGTTGGTCGACTTTCAGCTGCTGATATTGATCGCATGATAGCGGAATCGGACAAATTCCGGGAAGAAGATAAGAAGAGTCAAGAGAAAGTGGAAGCCAGGCAAGAACTCGAAAATTATGTTTATCAGGTATTACTATATTTGTACTTTTCGCACCTTCAACATTCCAATGTAAACTTTAAAATCTGATTGTTTTTCGATCGTGATCAAAGATTGGGAATACACTCCATGAGCCCAACGTCGCGATGAAATTGAAACGGAATGACAAAGAATCCATCGAAAAAGCGCTTTCAGGTTTGAAACGATTTTTGTTGAAAAACTCATGTCAGACAAACTATTGGTATCCGTGTTTAACTCTATTAATTGATTAATTCAGAGGCGCTCGAATTTCTTGATATTTCCAGCGATTCGGTTGACAAGGAAGAGATTAACGCTACGAGAAAAAAATTACAACGGAGTGTCACTCGTGCCTTTTCTTCGCTCAATCGTTAGTCACAGTGTTTTACATGTGAAAAAAAAAATATATATACAGTATATATACATTATAATATAGCATGGATTTGGGAACTATTAATTAATACGTTCCTGGAATGTTAATTTCCTATAAAAAGTTATTTATTATAATGGGATTTCGATGTAATAAATTGCTATTTACATAGCACATGACTTATTACGTAATACGTTGCGAAAGTAATAAAGCTTACCCTGGCTTGTTTTTAACTTGCGCAATCATATAACGTGATTGTGTAATTACGTACAATACATAGTGTTGGTTCTATTAAATATCAATCCTTTTCTTTTGCACTGTGAATGTCGCTTATAGCATTCACTACCTTATCTTTCGGCTCCACAAGCTGCTGTGCGAATTTTTAAAAATCTATGAATTATAATCTAATTAAACATAACAACTTTGTAAGGGCAATATAAAAAATTGTACTGAAGGGTTGTCGGTTAAAGTTTAAAACGAGAAAACAATCAAACAACATCCTTGTAAAAAAAAAAAAAAAAATGACAAAGACGACCGTCGAAGAAATATATAAAGCTTACGAAGAAATTGACAAAGCCGGTTCCAATTTCGAGCAAGTAAGCCACACACTCAGGACCTCCTTCGTTACGACCGCTTAATTATCGGTTCTAACATTTTTGTTTGAAAAAGGTCAAGAAATCGTACGAGACAGTAATTTCTGGCGCGCACAGCGAGAGTAACTGCAAACGACTCGCTGCACAATTTATTCCGCGATTTTTTGGCAAATTTCCAGACCTGAACGAGGCAGCCATCGACGCACTATTTGATCTATGTGAAGACACAGATTTGAATGTACGCCCCTTATGATTAGCGCACCATTTTGGCTTTGAGTTAATGAGAAGACTGATAGAATTTCTATACGATTGTTGACATGTCAAAAGGTGCGATTGACTGTTATAAAATATCTACCCAATGTTGTCAAAGAATCTGACAAGGTTGCGGTACGAATTGCAGATGCTTTAGTACAATTGCTACAAAATGGTAAAATATTGAACATGATTGCGGCATTTATGGCCAAGTGATTTAATCCTCATGAGACTTGAAAATTTTAACGACCATTCATCGGTTCACCTATTCGCCTATTTATTTAATTCTGATAGAAACCTCCCAAGAGATAGCCGCCGTGAAAAAGGCGTTAGAGCAAGTAATTCGGTTATCGCCTCGTGATTCCATTGTTGCAATATTTCAACAGTCATTAAAAGGTTCCCCCGAGGTCCGTAATAGGACGATCAATTTTTTGTCGAATGATTTGAACCGTTTCAAAAACGATTTGTTCGAGAAAGGTGGAGACGTTGAGGCCTGCTTTGCCAATGAAGTGAAAAAGGTAATATGAATGATACATATTATATGCACCTGTTAAGCTAATTTATCGAAAGAACTTTTCACGAATTGACATATCAATTCTATACTGATGAATAGGCACTTCGCGATTCCACTTTATCAGAATTCGAGACATTTCTGAAAATGCTTTTATCACTTAAGATGCATCAGCCGGAAAACAAGGAAAATCTGAAGGAATTGATAAACGCATTGATCGATTCAATCGCTGCCGAAGGAGAGGAGCTTGATGTAAACCTTTTTTTTTTTTTTTTTTTTTCACATGCTTGACCGTCTATAACCTACCTCTGGCGAACATATTATTATAAACACAAATTTGCATCTTAATCCACTACTCTAGCCTACTAGTGCTATAAAAGTTCAAAAGTTCATATTATGCGGTAAAACATTGATGCCATATTTCGAGGTAAAAATTTTGGGACATAAAAGAAAGAGAGAATCCTTGCAATTAAAAATTTCCATTTTTTCCTAATTATGGGTAGAAAGGAGTTAGGAGCACGCCGTTCCTCTCTTTCCTCGTGAATAAAGTTTTGCCCAAGGACAAATTCCGCCGATTGCAAGAAAAGCAACAGAAAAGCATGTTACGTTTTCTAGCGGATTGCATCAGTGGGAAGCACACCGAAGCGACGATCAAGATTGCGGCTCCAATAATCAAGGAGTTGTTCATTGTATGCATTAAATTTATCATACTGGTTGCGGTTTAATTTCCACATTCTAAGAGCAATATTTGGTCGTCGTAACAGGACGAAATACCACCTGCCAGAGACGATGTTGAGGTTGAGCCTAAGTTAGACTTGCCAAGGGTCGAGTACATTGTATTCACCTTATATTGTATTGCTTCCAAGGTCGGTTGGTTTTAGTTTTCCCTTCCTTTTTTTTTTTTATGTAATTGAAATCGTATTTTTAATCAGAAAAATTAATTTAATACAGATTCCTGAAATCGTCGAGGGGGAGGAAATTTCCTTAAGGTAGGTTGCCAAGCATTCACGTGTGGTCACCGGGATGTGAAGAAGTTCGTTCGCCATTTGAAAGCTAACCTTTGAAAAAAAAAATCCTTGCGCTTGTAGATTTAAAAATCTTTATGTCGTTTCCCACAAGTGCATATCACGCATTAAGCAAGGTCTGAAAGATTTACAAAATCGTGAACAAAAGGACCAGGAAACACTGGAGGTGAAAATTATTTCGTTTAATCAGTTCACCGTATTATTTATTGTCTTGTTAATTTCTTTAAAATGTGTTATAGAAAATCAAAAAAGCAGAGAGTGGTCAAATAGTGACGAACAACATATTAAATATGATAAAGGTGACACTGATTTTCTTTCCCGTGCATGACATCATTTCGTTGATATCTGGAACTCACTTTTCCCTTGCTTGTCGTCAAGGAACTGATGAAACCCGCGAAAGCAAGACATTTCACAAAAGTCCAACATTCCTGGCAGTCTTTGACTCCAAGCACACCACCGACACCTGTACCACCAACAAAACGTACTGCTGATCCCAGCTCGCCGGTTGACACTACGCAGAGTAAAAAGGTTAGAACGTCTGAGGAGCAGTCAGGCGCAAAACCCCCGCAGAAAGCCACAATCTCCAAACCTCAAAATATACCATCTCGCAATAATCAAAACCGCCAACCGTTTAATAATACTCGAGGCGGTGCCGTGAGGAGTAATGGTGGTGGTGGAAGGATTTCAAAGATCAACCGAAACAGCGTAAAGATCGATCAACAAACCTTGTACGTGCCGCCACCTAGAAGAGGTACGTAATTGTGTCTCTTTTGCTTATCAAGTATCCTCTTGTAACATTTCTGTGTCGTGATGTCCATTAGTATGATTCGCGAATGTTTGCCAGCACATTATATTTTTTTTTTTACATAAGATATAATAAAAATTTTGAAACATATCCCAGAATCATTGCAAAAATCCTTTAATCATTCGTATTGAAGGGATTTATAGAGGCATTTCTAATTTTATTTCTTATTTAACACGAACTTAGATTAAAGAAGAACATAAATATCCTAATATGATTCACTTCACTTTTTCGTCACTAATAATAATTACACGGATAGAGTGGGTTGCAATAACCCGTAATAAACGCGAAAATTTCTTAATTAGTTCAATTGATGGGATGGTGCACTCTCTCCTCCTGGTTAATTTTATGATCTGCGGGATTGGGTGCCGCTTCATATATGGTTATAATTTGATCCCTCTTGATCTACATTGGTCAAGGTTGTGTTAATTGCAGCATAAAAAAATTTGTGTCAATAAATTTTCGTCAACAATGGTTACAGTCCGTTTATCTGCTGTCTTCCTTCTTTTGGAGATGAAAATAGGACACTTTTTTTTATCCATTTACCTCGGTCCATTCTCCCTTAAGTCCAATATACGAGATCCTCGTAACATCATCGCCAAAGTTTTCGGGAAAATAGAGGGTCAAATTTCTCACGTTATACATTTTCGTCATCCTTAATGCCATGCGATTGTGTATGCATGTTAGTTAACTACTGCGTCGTAAGGAACTTGAGGAAAAAAAAAAAAAAAAATCCATAGCCAAAGATAAATAAATCACTTTGTAGGATATTCAACAATTTCATTGGTTGATACCAATGCCCATTCTTGAGTTGCCGTGAATGATTCGACTGTGTCGAAATCGATATCCTCTCGGTTGATATAACTATTTGAAGTTGATTAATTAGAAACAGATGTGTGAAGGAAAAAAAAAAAAAAACGCGAGAATCACTCACGCCTTTAAATTTGACGGGCAACTGTTCTCAGGACCAGCCTTGATCGAAATGGATTTCAATTTAACGCTTCCCGTGAACCTGGGATCCAATAATCAACCATTAATTTCGTGATATATTGTAGAATGCTGAACAGTTTTAAGTGCCAAATTTTAACACCCACGGAATAAATAAGATCAATTGTTCGTCGGCGTCGCTTTCCACATACTATGCAAAAATGGTTGTGTAACTTTGTGACTGTTCATAAAGCCGCGAGTATTTTGCGATCGTCCTCAAACTCCGAACCTTAGTAGTATCATCTCTTTCGTGCCAAGGTTTAATCACATTCTTCCCAGAGCCGGGTTCACTTTCATTCAGGCAACGAACATTGTCACGATCTACGCGTGAATAAAGTGAATTTTCAGCACCTCGATTGGGATCGTCGTGAGAGTGGTCATGATCGTGGGAATGACCGTGATCGTGCTCGTGAGAATCGTGTTCATCTCTGCAGTGACTCATCGTCTTCCTCGACTATGGTTTAAAATTTTCCGAGAACGCTTGAAATTACATAGTTAGTTAATATAGTTGGCTAATTGATCTTCTGACTTGGGAAATCACAACTTACGTCACGTTTTTCTTGATCATCGTTCGAGCCTATCACTTAACGGTAGTGTAGGTAGGTGCATACGCATGTAACTCACGTACTTCTTTCCTTTTATATCTAACATATTCCCTTATGCCTTGTTTTTTAATTAGTGTAAAATACTTGCATAATTACATTGTCTAAATAACGCGAAAAACGGTTTTATATTTAATATTTTTCCTTTCTTCATTCTGACAAAGATAAACGTGTAAGAATTGGTCACAAAATTATACAGCTTGAGAGGGAGGGATAACATAACAAAGGAAACACGATTTAATTTTTTTGAGGAGAACCCGAACTGTAGGCATTCCAACTTCTTTATTTCTAATCTCATTTGTACATCTTTTCCAGTCATAGGCGATACTGGCGTAGTATATAACCTACTTACTGTATATATCTATACACACACCTAGTCACGAAGCATGGAGCCCGAAATAGTTTGCAGCGGTCCCACCTTCTCAGCTACTCTCAACACACCTACCGCCAACAAGAGTGGTGGTTTTGCGAAATCGATTCGTCGTTCGCTGTCTAATAAAACCATCGAAAAGTTATCGCCGGTCTCCAAATCAACACATTCCGCATCTAAACAAAAGACCGAAACTCTTTCTTCCTCAAAAGCAAAAACCTCACAAAGACCAAAATCTGCGCTACCACCCTATAGAGCGCCCTCACTTTTGCCGCAAACACCGTTAACGTCTAGCACAGCCGGTGACCTAATAAATCCGACGACACAAAAATCAGATTCCGAATGTGATAATAAAGATTCATCCTCACATGACACTCCATCGATTAAAATAACAACCGAAGCCTTGTTCGAGACACCGTCGTCTCATGCTTCCCCCTCGAAATTGAGTCCATCTTCTGATGTCCCCTCACCATCAGCACCGATATCGTCGAATGAAACCACCGCTGAGGATGACAGTTCCTTGGACATCATAGCTTTTCTGGCTGCTCCACGATTGACCCAACGTGTGAGGCTGAAAACTGGAAGGGTAGTTAGCTTTTCGGAAGTTGGCGATAGAAATGGTTTCCCCGTGTTCGTATTTTTGGGAATGGGTTGCGTGAGGTATTTCATCGCTTTCTTTGATGACTTGGCTTCCAGCTATGGCCTGAGACTGATCTGTCCTGATCGGCCGGGTGTCGGGTTATCGGACGACGTCAAGGTTGAAGATCAGCAAGTGCTAAAGTGGCCAGGTATGTTGACGACTGAGGTTTATGAATTCTCGAGAGTGGTTTCGCTGAGGTTTTGCTGACTCCGTGGATTTTCTTTGCTCACTGCGTATTCTAAAGAGGTCATTGAAGAACTTTGTGAAATTCTCGGCATAGGGAAATTTTTTATTATGGCGCACAGCGCTGGGGCTCCTTATGCTTTATCTTGTGCCCTAAAAATACCGGAAAGGTTGCAGGGGACAATATACCTCGTTTGTCCTTGGGTCAGCACCACGATAGCAAATAATTTCAAGTGGTTGCGATTTGTTCCAACACCCATTATGAAATTCACCAACAGCGCGGGCATTTCGCTTCAACAGATGCTTCACGGTCGACAACCATATTCCACCAAACCAAGCAAGAATTCGAGTGCATCATCCCAAATGACAAGTCTCGAGAAAAAACAGCGATTGGGCCTTGCCATCCTTAAAGCCTCCTTTTCCGAAAATCTATCCGGGGCAAACAATGACTTGCTCATGTGCTTTGAACGACGGCATTCATTCGGTTTTTCATATACCGACATTAATCATCCGGTACATGTTTTCCATGGCACGAAGGACGAACGAATCCCTGTGGAGGCTGTGAAGTGGATGGAAAAAAGCATGCCCAATTGCGGGTTGACCCTGATAGAAGGGGGAAAACATTCGTTACTCTTGCGCGCCGAGATTGTCGATACAATATTCAAGGCAATTGCCTTACAATTGCACGTGAAAGATGAATGTCGAGTATGCAAAATTTCATCTAGGTGTTGGCTAGTGGAGGAAGAGGAAATTTTCCGAAAGAAGGAGGACATATAAAATTTTCCTGCGATTGAAATCGTCCGTGCCCCACTATAATTAGGACAAAAAAGTCCGATGATTGGATATGTACAGTATTACGATAGCTGATGTACATTTGTATGCAATTGGATTCGCTTCTTTAAAATAAACGATATTACTTATGGAACGGGTCATGATGATCATTCATACAGTAATCCTTAAAAAGTCTTTTCTTTCTTTCTTAACAATACATTGGCGATAATAAATTAAAAGAGGGCTTAGATGTCTGATCGTTTTACCCTTTATGTCAAAGGATCGATGGACGCATGTGTTGATATATGTATTTGAAACATTTCTACTTCTTTCTATATTGATATTGAATTGCATCAACTTTAAAATGACGAATATATTATTGCACAAAATCGAATAAAAAAGAAATTAAGAAAAAAAAATCCCCAATTACAATGCTTGAACAGAATTACGGATGTCGATCTTAGTTATAAATTCATTCAGGAAATTGATATGAAAATAATACCTTTTAAAAAAATTTCGATATAAATAAAAAGAAATAAACATTATATACAGTATATAGGAAATAAGAATTCATAAACCTTGTTATTATGCAAATTTGAATATGAGGTAATTTTTTTTAATCTCAAATCCTTTTTTGATAAGACTTCTAACCGTAATGACAATGGTTTAAGATTGAATATTATGTATATTGGGAATTGGCGAATTACGATATTTTCAAATGGTTCAACCGTGAACTGATTGTACTGGTTTCTACTATCGATGATTCTTTTTTTTTTTTTTTGCGCAGGTCTACCATTTTCGACACCAAAACAATTGTTTAATTAGTCATCATTAATACGCAATGTGTAAATTTCCAAACTCCGAATTTCCACCGTGTGCTGCAAATCACAAGGCTCGAAAAAAGATGCGATAAAACAAATAATCTTTGGCAATATCAAAACATTCAAGTGCGTAATTGTTTCTACTGATAATAATTCGTACGTCAACATGCGGATACCATCTCCATAAATATAGGCTGCGGCTCATTGCCATCCAAAAGTTGACAATTGTGGGCTTTGATCTTTAAAAACTTCGTCCCAAAAGTAATGGTCTGATTACTGTTGCATATGCTGCATAATACTTTAGGGACACGTGGGCGTTGATTCAAACCGTACTACATAAAAAATTATAACCTGATCCGATCTAAGCCAATCATCCATCAGGAAATTTCTCACACCACTTTTTTCTTGAAAAAGCACATTTCCCACTTAAATGGCGGTCCCGTTCACCAAATTGGAATGCCCTCCATCAACTTTTTTTTTTTCTCACTTTGAAAACCAAAACTCATATTTCTCAAAATGCAGTCCACAGACCTTCAGGATCTATTGATGTGCGATCCATATTTTGAAGGCTTCACAAACACGAATACATTGGCTACCAATGATTCCTCAACTGCGCAACTTCCGTCAGCGACATTGTCCGAGTTTGAGGCTCAAATTCAAGCAATGTTGGCAGCCAATAACAACGAAATGACGAATTCTCGCGCAAACGATCTTTCGTTTGATAATTTCATATATACCGCCTCTCCCGAGAACGGTTTATTCGCTTCTCTGAGTTCCCCCGAATCTTTTATAGCCTCGCCAAATTCATACACGACCCTTGACGATTTGACCTCTCCTTCTCCTCCGACCTTCAATTCTACTGACTTCACCATTTCTCCAAGTAGTGCCACAATGACTGACTTCAATCATTATTCCCCAATGGATAAATCTATTGACAGATTATTACCCACTCAATCTGAGCTTGATGCTTTGTTTGCTCAGACCGAAAACACGAAGAGGCACATCTCGATTGATCACAACTCGATTGATCACGACTCGGTCTCTTCTGACAACAACTCTTTGAAAAAGAAACGGAAAAGCGTTGGGGGTGTCATCAAATCCGTAAAGAAAACAAATACCGGCATGAAAAATCTCATTAAAAACGAGCCAAACCCAAACACATTGTTCAACGAATCGATGCCGGTCGTGTGCATGGACGGTTCAAATATAGGTTCCAGCATAGGTTCCGGGGCAAATAGCATTGTGGTCCCCAGCTCTCCCGCGGACAATGTAGATGCCTCCTGCGGTTATACCACGAATTCAGTTTTAACATTCAATCATATTCCTTGGGCCGGTGCTCCGAATCAGGCTGACGGAATAATAGGTAATTATATCCTTTTATGTCTGCCATGGAATGTCCTCCCACTTCCAAGTATTGACATGTTTCCCCCTCTGCACCAGATGGTTCCCGATACCCGAGCGTGCCATCACTTCCGGCATCATGTGACGGAAAAAATGCTACCACAAAGTTGCCCATAACACGTCTCAAGAATACGAACATTTCACAACCACAACAAAATACCCCTGTACAACTTAACAAGCAACAAAAAAAGGTTGCTCACAATGCCATTGAGCGTCGCTACAGAAACAATATTAATGATCGTATCAATGATCTCAAAAATGTGGTACCTGCCCTCTGCCATTTGAAGAGTAAGGACAGTAAAGATGATGACGAAGACGACGAAGTTGATGGCATTCCTGCGGCCACGAAGTTGAACAAGGCTACGATCTTGAGAAAAGCGACAGAATATATTGTCTATCTAAAGAAGAGCAACGAGAAGATCAAGGGTGATAACGAGATCTTGAGAAATTTGCTGCAAGCCTTGCCCGGTGGCATCGAACTATTAAATGATTATATTGCCAGACGGGATAAGATTCCCGGAGACACACCACCGGATACACCCGATGCTCCGTCACCTGATTACGATTTCCCACTGACACCCCCTCATAACACAAATCCTGCTCCGAGAGCATTGATGGCTTTGTTCATGTGCATGACGTTCTTTTCATCACCCTCAAGTGTCGGCAATCATGCCTCCCACCATCACAGTGACAACAGTCGCGTGGTCACCAACGAAACTCCTCTAGATATACCTGTGATTGGGGTTCCCAAGGGTTCATCCAGCGCAAGTGATGGTGCATTCATAATTGATATCTGGTGAGTCATCTTGTCTATTCCTTGAGCTTCGTGGATCTGTCTGACTGAATGATTAATGTTCATCTACTTTCTGTAGGTACTTGGCAAGGATCTTTACTTTCCTTATTTGTCTGACATACATCATCCGACCATCCCTGTTTTCAAACCAGTCTCGACATGTTCAAAAATCAAAGAAAATCATAATGTCCGTCTTAACCACAAAGACCAAGGACGCGAAAGGGCTTTATCAGTCCTTGTCAAGTCTTTGCTACACTTCTCCGATGAATATCCTAGAAATTGTCATCGGTGTAATAACCGAGTCTTTCAAGCTCATGTTAAGAAAGTTTTTGGGTTGGGACATTTCAGTTGGATACGCTCATGCTGATACAGAGGAGAAACTTTGGGAGGTGGCATTATGGAGTAGACTTGGGGAGGTTGAACTATGTGGTGGTAAGCGAGAATCCTTTTTTAATCTGTAATTCGTTCTTCAACCGTGGTAAATAATGATGATGATTTTAAACAAAAAAAAAAAAAAAGGAAACGAAAAAGCATCTCGTCTTTCCATCTTGTATACGTGTCTCCGAACGATCAACCTTTTTGAGAGTTTGTACCCAACACGTAAACACGCCCACATCAGCCCATCTCGAATTTATGCTAACGCGGCCTTACAATGTTACATTGGACTTTACTCTGCTCCTTTCATTTCTCAGAGAATTGTGTCACATTTTTGGAATTTGGCTATCAAAGAAAAAGGATCAAGTGGTCCCGAAGAGAAATGGCTCGAGATTGCTTTGATTAGTGACCAAAACAATGACACATGGAGGGGAGTGGCTGATAGGATCAGTGACCATGTTCTTGGTCTCTCAAAAAATAAAGAATTCATAGAATCTATGAGCAACACCACTGTTCCCCTCACCCACATTTCAGATGCGCAAGCCTTGATCCATCTGAAAGATGCATTTTCCAACCTTATTTCTGTAAAATACGGAAAGAAGAAGAGTCAAAAGAGAAGTCGATATACCTTTTTCGATCTTCTTGGTGTGTCCACACCCGCATCACCGACGCATTGGTACGCTCTGGTAGGATGTGCAGTGCAAGCATTCTCTGAAGGAGAAAATAAAGTGGGCGAAAGTCTCGTAAATAAGTTGAGGGAAGAATACCCCAAAATAGATAATGACGCCAGTAAACGAATTATTTCCATGGGCTTATTCTCATATTACCTTTTGATGTATGGCAAAGTTGAAGCTTCCATTCGATGTGCAGACAAAGTGAGCAGTGCTGTTGCCTTACGAAAGAAAGAAAAAAAATCTGGAATCATCGATGATGAATCTTTGGATGATAAAGAATCAGAGACAGAAAAGATACTGAAAGAGGTTCATCATTTGGCAGAGTTTTGCGTGGGATGGATCGTTTTAGAAGCAAGGGTACTAGGGTGGAAAATTATTGAAGGACTATCATCGGAAACCAAGGAAAATCCCTTACCTGACGTTCTAGACGTAGAGGTACGGCTGATGCCTTCTATTGATAAATGGATGCGCTATTTGCGCCGACTATCAAAGGCCGATGTGTTTAACGACATTCCAAAAGCTCGAGAGGGGTTTATAAAACGACTTGACGCTCTCGGAAGAATTTCCGGTGGGGCTGACGAGGGCGCTGAGGAGACTGAGGAGGATGATAAAGTAAAATCGAGTTGCACTGAAAATAGAGCTATAAGATCATGGAATGTCTTAAAAGGCATGTAAATACATTGTGTTTGTGTCGAGAATATCATTACTATAATTTCAAATTTTTGTTTTACCCTGTTTATACATAATATATATGGCACATTTAGAAGACTTATACATAATTTAACTGCAAAAAATCTGCCCAGCGGATTAAGTATAAAAATGTATAAAGACGCATATTTCTTTATTAATAAAACAATTTTCATCATGGATCGCAATCGCGCGCGATATGTTATCACCGAGTTATGAAGAGAATATCTCGCTAAAGGATGGTAGATGGCGAGATTATTTTTGGGAAGATAACAGAGCTTCCGGTTTTCAAACATCGTGAAATCAATATTTTCAAGAAAAAAAGATTTTGATACTGCGACAAAATACATTTCAAGTTGATCGATTTACATTCTTTACAATCAGAAATAAAAGCGATGCTATATATACAGTATCAATAGATTCACGAATAATATAATAGAAGCCGCATTTTATACGAGAATTGCAAAGTTACTTAATTATTTATTATTTTTATTTCAATTTATTGTATAACAAATCCTCAAATAGGATTTATAAAATTTATATAATTAATGAACTATAGATTAAGTAAGTGAATTCTTTTTGCAATACCCGTAAACAGGCTAGATTGTAGTTTACTAATCAATTGAATACATTAGTACAATTCATTTGAGCAACATTATATATTTTATACTATATTATAGTTAAACTATTTATCAAGTTTAACAAATTCATCATAAGCAATTAAGTTTGATTTTGAAAATAATATTTTATTTTATAGTAAACTTTAAATAGAATCCCTTTCTAGTTTATATATCATTCATTGCTAGCAGATTATTATTGTTACATTGTATATTTTATTAAGTCACTAGAATACAAAAAATTATAAAAAAGATAGATTGAAATAAAGTAAGAAAAATATTAAAAATATATATACATATTATTAAAAAAAATAAAAGTGATAAAAAGAAAAAAAATTTTTTTTTGCTTTCTTTAAAAATCCTTTTCTTAAAATCTTTTCTTAATAAGAAATATTTTATTGAAATATTTTTTTTCCTTAATTATTTGAAAAACTTAATTTTAATTTGATTATTAAAATCATACTTCAAGTTATTTTAAGGAAAGTATTAAGACTTTATTAAAAAAGAAATATAAAAATTTCTTACAAACATCTTTTTTATATATAATCAAAGAATTGACAAAAAGAGTTTTTTTATATAAATAAATAAAATATATTAGTTAATAATTTTTTATTTACTTATAATACTGTAATAACTTATAATATAATAAAAATTATATTATATTATTTAAATATAATATTTTTTAGTAATCAAGTTTAATTAAAAAAATTTTATTAATAAATATTTATATTATTCAAAAAAACAATAAAATTAAAAAAAAAAAACTTTTTTCATTGATTTTTTGATCATATACAAAAAAGATATTTACAAGAAGTTTTTTCACTTCTTTATTAATAAAGTCTTAATATTTTCCTTAAAATAACTTTAAGTTTGATTTCAAAAGTTATATTTACCTTTTTCTTATTGCTTATAAATTTTTTTTACTCAAAAACTTGACTTCTAATAATCAAGAAAAATTAAATAATATCTTTAATATCAATAACAAGAAAGTTTTCAAAAGAAGAAGAACTGACTGTGAAGTACTTGAAGATCTTTCTAACCTTTGAAACAAGAAATTTATAAAGATTTGTTATAATTAAAAAATTTATTTTCTTCTTTTTAAACTATTTTAATCTTTCACTTTTATGGTTTTCTAAAATATTTTATCTATCTTAATTTGATCCTGAATTTTCAATAGCATAAATCCTTATCAAAAGTAATTAATTAACATGAAACATGTTAGTTTTTGAAATATAAACAAGCTTCTATTGATCATATTTATATGTTTTAATAATATTATTAGAGAGTAAAAAAAATATTTTGAAATAGTTATTTCTAAAAGTTTAGATAATATAGATTGCAAATATTTATTTTTTACTTAATTTTCTTAGATAGTAATAAAGCTTTAATAGATAAAAGCCAAAATTTAAATGTTTTTCTTGAAATACTTCAATCTGTTATTTGTTTAAATAAAAAATCAATTAGATTGATATATCCAATACTAAAAGTGATAATAAAGAAAGTTTCTTTCTAGATTTAAGTAAAGTGAGAAGACTGTTTCAATTAGTTAAATCTCTTTTAAAAAGAAACTATTTTTATTTTTAAAATTTTTGATAAATCTTGAATTGGTTTTTTTTCTATTTATTTTATTTTTTTTTCTTTTTAACTTAACAATTCATTGATTTTCAAATCAATTAACAGTAAGAAACTATTAATAATAATTCTAATAGATAGTGATTAATTTAATTATATTAGAAAAATATAATATTGTTTTTAAAATTTAACTTAGAGTACTTATAAATAATGACAAATTAATTACTTTATAAAATAGTTTGTAGATTTTATTTTAATTTCTCAATAAAAACAAGATATCATGATATAATTGTGAGTTAAAAAAAAAACAATAATTTACTAAAGAAAATAACTAAAAAAAAATTATTTATATTTCAATTTATTTTTATTTTATTTATTTATTTATTTTTAATCTATAATCAAATTTCTTTTTATTCTCTTTTCATTACTTTTCTTTTATATTCAAATATATAATATATAAGTTTTTTAAAAAAATAAAGGCTCAGCCATGTTTATTAACTTTGATAAAATAATATATAAATTAATATAAAGATTACAAAAATTATCATATAAGTCATATATAAAAACTCTTTCCGCTGATCCTAAATCTCCTTAAAAAATTTCCTTTTTCGGTAATTTTCTTGGAAAACTCAGAAGCC